TATAACTAACAGAGAGCTATGCCCAAATATATGGACACGAAGTCCATAACGAAATGTTTCACTATCATTTTCCTGAAAATCATACGCTATTTCGTGTCCCATGGGAAAATACAAATTTGTGCTGTCCCATCCCATATTCTCATGCACAAGCCTGAACATACGAAACTTAATGACTCGAAGTCGGCACTGTAGGTAGCCGTATGATATCTTTCTTACATGGGTGGTGACTATCCAATCGCCCATGGGTCATCGTTTTGCCTAGCAGCTTCGATCTGGTAATTATGTGTAGTTTCAATAGATTCTATATATCCAAACAAACAGAAAATGTACTGAACACTCATATCGCTGATGTAGAACAAGAGTTACGTATGTCCCATTTTGACATTCTGAGAAAATAATCTTTAAAGTTTTTTTCGGGGGGTAAATTTTTGATGAAAACGAATTTATTTTTGCATATCTGCATAAAATTTTTGGTTTAATCTGGTTGTTGCATTTTTCTAGAATTTTCTTTTTTTTTTGTAATTCTTCGTTTATTTTTTTAACACTGTTTTGGACATAAGTCTCCTTTGCACGAAATTATTTATTTTTTATCTTTGTCGCTGGTGTGACTTAAGGCAACAGCATCTTACTCATCACGTGCTTAAAACCCAGTAAACACTAATATATGGTGCATTTTATGATATAAATGATAACAACATGCATTAAGATAGCCCAAACGAACTGTATCAACTATTCTGAGATCTCTCATTCCACAATATATTTCTTTTTTCTTTTGTCTTCATTGGTAAATGACTATCATCAGTTACATTTGGTGCGCCATGCTTACAATATTAAAGTTCAAGATTAGTTCTCCATTTGATAAAAGAAAATTAATGTGGTAAAGGAAGTTGACTAACTAGAGGAAAAAATCTGAACCAAACTCCGCAGCACTGAATGCTGCATACCTCAGAAAAGGCCGTGAGACGAGGCGCTTAACAACGTCCAGAGAGTGAGTTTCGTAGCGCACATCTTGGGACTATATAATTCCTTAGGGATATATATTCCCTTATAAGGGGATTCCCCGGAAAATCAATAACCATATGGTTAACACCAACACAGCATAAAAACCATGCAGTTCAAGACTCCTGCTGCACACTAACACAAATGTATTTCTGAAACGTTTCGTCTGATAAAAATAAACAGACCTCCTTAGATAAGCAGTTTACAACAAAGAACAGCACAAGAAGTTGCATTTATTTTATAAAAGCTACCAAACGCATTCATTTATATGCAATGAAGTCACAAATAAACATCGTGAGCACAAAAACACAAATAAATTGGGTATTTCTCACTAAGAAATTCACATGGAGAGGTCAAGGAAATTAAATGAATATAGTATGTACATAACATAGTGAACAGAAATATTACAATCAGTGTCTATGTGGTTGTGTATTTGAAACAAATGCAATATTATTTTTAGAAACAGGACTTTCGACACTCACAGATATCTGAGAAAAACTAATAAATAATATTTATAAAATTGACTTTAATATCTCATTCACTTTCCTCTGACGGCTTCCGAAATCCTCATTCTCGAAAATCGACTTTTCCTCTACACGTGTACTGTGGTTCTTGCTGTCGATACAAAAACAAAATTCTGTGCAATTTTGATTGTTTTGACACGCGCGCAGGAACCAATCCATAGCCAATAGATGGGGAAATAATTGGCTTTGATTCTAGGCAACAGTGATGAATTCCTGTCTGATAATTTGCCTTCCGAACATGCTTCTTTAGAGAATTATTGTTGGGTGGAAGAGAATAATCCATATGTTTGTCAGTTTTGAAAACACGTGCCCTGGTATCATTTACATTCTTCATATCCTTTCCATACAATGAACAAACATATTTCTCCGCTTCATTTATTAATGCCTCGTTAACCTCAAAAGATCTTCATAGTTGAGATAAAACTCAATGAATTTCGAGTCCTCCAACATCAGTTTGATGCCAAAGTATTTCAATATAAATAGCCGATCTAAGCTGTTTGCAACTGTAATGATTCTCATATACCGTTACGCTTTTCTTCAAGACTTCTTCTTCGATCCATTTTTCTTGCTCTCTAGCTGTTTTTCTCTTATCTATTCGTCTTTATCGAAGCACCTCTCTCTTGTCTTGTACAATTGATTTAACACTGACTTGACTAATTCGTGTTCGACCACTTTCTTCCCCATCGTCTACTAACCACCGCACATTCGACTACATTTGCGTTATTTCATCGAAAGAAAATGACCGATAAAAGTGGAAAAGGAATATAACTCGCAATGACTGTAAAAACGTAGCGACCCTCACCAAGAATATGGGCTACTTAAAATTTGTAATCCGTCTTCATTTCGAATATATATATATATATTTATGGTTGGTAATTAAAATTTGTTTGGAACACGTTTATCCGCGAACATGACTATGTGTGCGTTTATGAGGCGCATGCATATGCGTAAGAATGTCATGGGTAAAAATGTCCGTGGATGCAGATGTGCATGGGTGCAAATGTTCATTAGTGGAAATGTAGGCTACATGGGTGCAAATGTCCGCGGGTGCAAATGTACATAGGTTCAAATGTCCGCGGACGCAATCTATAGCCTAGGCGGGTGCTAAAATCTATTGGTGGAAATACATGGGTGCAATAGTGTGCAGGTACAAATGTCCTGTGTGTAGTTAACGGGTGCAAATGTAAGTGGGTTCAAATGTGCTGTCGCCGTTGCCGCAAATGATTTGAGCATAGCTCTCTTGTATTAGGTATATATAGTTAGATTTTTTCTCTTTTTTTATCATGTTCTGTTAAACTTTTTTTTAATGGGTGCGGCTGCTCGATAACCGGTATTGGTTTTCCGCGTTCCCTGCACCCTGAAAAGCAATTTTCTAATATATAATTTATTGGAATTTGTATGTCGAAAATGCTTTTTCAGCATGGTGAAAAAATGAACTACTGACGGACTGAATAGTTAATGAGAAAAGCGATTTTTTATGACAACAAGAAAAAAATAGCAACAAGAACGATAATGTAATAACATCCTATTAGGCCTATATTATATGGTGTTCATAACAAGATGATCCATATGTAGCCTACAGTTCAAGTCCAACAAGAACAACATCAACATAATAATAACAAAAGATGCATAATATGTCATATAGGAGACATCGCAAAGTCATTTTAGTAGGGGCATAGAGGACATGGCCATTTCAGTAGGGACATACCTAGTTTAGTACGAGCATATTGGATATGGTCATTTTAGCGGGGACATAGCCATTTTAGTAGGGACATAATCATTTAGTGGGAACACAGTGGAGAAAGCCATTTTGGTGGCGACATAGCGGACATAGCCATTTTAGTAGCGACATGGCCATTTTAATAGGGACAAATCATTTTAGTAGGGACATATCGCACATAGCCAGTTTGGTAGGGGCATAGCCATTTTAGTAGCGAAATCTGGGACGTAGTTATTTTATGATACCAGGAAGAAACTGATTGAAATTATTTACGATCTGGCTTTGTGATTGTGATCAGAACTCACTAACAGACATGAAATTTTACGGTAGTTCTGTAAGGATACTTCGAACATCTGGTTAGGGCAATATTCAGATATTTTCAATCCCAAGATAAAGGAAGTGGGAGAATGGTTAATGTAGGTAGGCCTACTGTGTGGTTTGTGTGCGTTAACAAACCAGTCGACTACTGGATAAGATATGATTTACATATTTATCCCGGGGAAAGGAAAGGCGATAGGACGGCTTAATCATTCCCCTCGTCCGGTTACCAGTTCATGAAGGATATGGGATTAGTTAGCCAGTTATTTGTTTTCGGAAGCATGGAATTGATGGTGGAGGAAACCGTAACCAACCAGCAGTTACGTGAACCAGCCTACGACGGCGAGGAGCCCAGCAATCCTCTCGCACATAACCATCCTACATCACTACATGGAATTCGAACCTGCGAACCCACGCAGGATAATCAGGCGAGGTGGCGAGCGTATTCCTGACGCTTAGCGCTGCGCCACACCGCCGATCCACCGCTATCTGGATATAGCGGATGTAGTCTGATAACGTAGTCGTAGTGTACACACAGTTCATGCAGTTGTGTGGTCTTGTACTCTTGTTAGTGTTAGAACTTAGAAGGGTGTTTAGAGTACAGGAGTACGGTGTCAGTACCGTATTTCCTTGTACTGTTGTAACATACAGCAGTTCAGAAGTTACTGCTGTACTGAGTAACCGTACCGGTACCGTTTCGGAACCGTTTCTGAGTTTTGCCAGGGAGCTGCTAAAAGAAACTCAGTTAGGTAGGCCTACCTAACTTATGTAATTCTGTTCCTCCTTGTTACACAGTTATTCAGTTAAGTTACCGTAAGTTATATAAAATATAAGTTAGATTTAATAAACCAGATTAAAATCTACAGGTACGGTACCGGTAATAAAAATAAACACTTGAAAATAAAGCTTTGTCAAAAAAATATTGTAAAAACATGGAAGTACTGAAGTCTGGAAGTAGTCTAGTCCATTAATCAGCCAGTCAAGTCTGTAAGTTCCCAACTTTTTTGGTACGAGAGTTACTGTATTGGCATTCTCAATCTGTCTATATATCATTTCATTCCAGCAATCTGTCAGTTGAGGAGACATGGCTGAATGGTGATACAATTCATGATGTTTTTGTTCAGATACCGTACCGGTACGCTGGTACTGTTAAATACAATACTGCAATACTGGTACCGCTGTACCGGAAGACCGGTATTACTGTCTGACTGTGTACGGTACCGGTAACTGTTCATGGTATTACTGTATTACAAGCATATACAGATATGGATGCACTTTGTTACATATCTTCATGCTTTTTACTCAGATGACCGTATATGGTCGTATTGTTATTACCCAGTCTGCAGTCATATACCGAAAACTGCATTAGGCCTATGTATTGTTTTATTATTTATTTGTTATTGTATCATCATGTTTTCTGGTTTGATGAAAAAAATAAATTCTCTCTCTTTAGTATTAGTCTAATACCTCAAAAGTACCGGTAGTTGTCAATCTAATCGTAGAAGAAAGCAGAATAAAAATATAGTTATATGCACATCATTCTGGTAATGAACAAGTCAACGAACTAATAAAGCTTTAAATTCATATCAATAATCAATACTGAATGAAGGATATTAATATACAAATGGAAGAGACTTCTATGCCAATGGATGTAGAGCACAGCTCTACATTTCATCATCAAAAAACTCAAGAAAGTTGTGACACATTTTTTGATTCTAATGGTTTACCTAAAGATATAAAAGCAAATGATTTTTCTGACATGGACTTTGCATCAACATCGAAGCATGAAGAAATATTTAAATCTGCATCATCTACTCATAAAGATGACCCTATTGTTTATGGAGAATTAATTGTTTTAGGGTGAGTGTTTTTTTTTCAACTTGATCTTGAATCTGTGAATGATGAATCAATGATATCATTCGCTTAGTTTTCTTATTTAAATTATGAAATTCATATATAGTGGAATTGCTTCAAATGGAAGTATCTATTTTACTGCAATTTTTTATATAGACAATTAAAATCTATCAAAAGTTTCCAAAACTTTAATCGACGCTTTCATTTTAACTCATTTTCAATCCAACATTCTTTCAATATTATTTTTTTGAAGTTGTCGATGTGAATTTCTGCGAAAATCTTGACTGGAATGATTGGAAAATGTTATTTTGTCATATTTATTTTCAGTACTAATGGGTGCTTGCCTGGCGGGGATAGAGGCCGTCGAAAAAGTAGTTTTACATTACAAAAACGACTCAAACCCAATGGAGTCAAGCCATCAAACAAGCAACAAGTTTTTGAAAAGCCGACACACTCAGACGTAAGTCTTTTCATAGGGATTTCAAGTATCACGATATATTCAACTTCAATAAGACTAAGATTTCAATCAAATTCTTCGACTAACATTAGGCCATTAAGGATAAACTATTATTTTGCTATTTACTCTCCTATTTTTGATAATTAAACTTTGTTGTTTAGGCATTCATGAGTAAAGAACATCATAGTGTTTCCTATACTCTACCTCGCAATGTCATTGTCGTCACATACGAATCCAGTTCAACGACAGACATGTTTCAAGTGAGTGTCTCATTCATTATTGATTGGTAGGTGTAGATGATTTTTAGGAACCTTGAAAGAAGAAACTTGGTGACTTCATCACGATTGAAAATGTGTGATATCGATATCTGAACAATATTCTATTTCGACTGGTTTTTGAATTATGAATCGAGATTCATTTTTGTAAAAAACCTATCAGATGTGACTTACCTTAGCCTTCTATCTTGTTGTGAAATTTTGTCTGTTCAAAAATTACATCGATTCATCTCCCAACTGCTTTTTAAATGCCGGAGAATGCGGAAAAAAAATAAAAACAAAGTCCAATTGAGAATGTTATCAATGAACTAAGAGCTTAATAAGCCATTTATATCAGGAAATTTGTTCAATATCGGTTCTATCTATGTGGTAATTTCTAAGAAGTTTGCAGCAGGACTCCTGGCTCACATGTGGTAGTCAGTGTTATTGTATATCGTAGTTCAGTTTTCTTAAAATTCTCAAGATCACATATTTTGAAATCGATCCCAGTTGAAAAACATTGTTCTGCTTTCAGCAAGTCATGAGGGATATTGGAAAAGTACAGTTCCAGTTACATGACTCTAGCCAAACATGGTGTTTTGTGCAGTTTTTTGTCTGATCTAATCCAACCTTCACAGAATATGAATTATTCATAGCATTGCGATGCACTTTTGTTTTCTTTTACCACTTGAATGACTAAATATGTATGGGTCAGACAACTCATGAGGAAATATGTGGCCTAGTAATATTAATGCAAGAACCACACCACCATGAACACAGACAAAGAAGTATATTATGACATCTTAAATATAAGTTATTAGTACCAATGATGTAATTGCTATATTTTTCACATTTCGACAGATGGACGAATGCTGTGGAGTTTAATTTCATTTTGAATCCCTCAGTATGTATGTGTTGGGTGAAGTTGTTTATTCTTTGGTTCTCAAATAGAATATTGCTGTCCCAGGGAATGTTGTTTATCATTATCTGTGACATTTTGTACCCTGCACAGCAATATAACAAACAGTTCTGAGAATAAAACGACAGTAGAAGATTATTGACAATAATCCACACAGGCGTCAATCTAGCAACAGAACACTGTTGCTATCTTTGTGGTAGATATAGTTTGCAAGTCATGACATGCCACACTCTTAGAGAGTCAATACATGTATTTGCTTTGCATGTCATGGCTTGCAGAAGTTGTCTGTGGCAAGAATTTGTCCAAGGGAGCGAGTATGAATAACATACATTTTTATATGGCCCATTATATTGTATGATTAGTTTACGACAAAATTTGACCAAACATGTCTGGTCTTGTCTATTTGAGTTTGAGAATTCAACATTGTGTGGTCTGATTCTGTTTGATTAAGTCTTATGGGTAGATGTTTAGTGTGTTACTATGTACCTGTGCCTGTGTGTGTAGGCTACATCAATTTTTTTCTACGCAAATGTATCACTATCTAGTATGGTTTCTATTGACATGTTTACCCTTTGTGAATAGTTGACATGATATTTAATTTCATTAAGCGAGATGATATGCGTTTTGCATTCCATTGACTGTACCACGAATATATTGATGAATTTTATGTTGTAAATATAATCATATTTTTTGACATTAAAAAATTTTATGCCTTATTTTCTTATGTGGATGAATATTTGATAAGGCACATGTCGTCCGATTTAAAAGAAAAGAGGCATACGGTCAAGTGGGTATTTCCCTATTTGCGTTTACGAAAATATCCGTCTACGTATGCGATTACGTCATTCGGGATTTGATATGGTTTATGTATGCAACCTCAGACAGAATCGGAAAGGATGCGCCCGACTGTACTTTGGCCTCCATTCAAAATTAGGCCCTGGGGCGTTTTCCAGACCCGGTGCACTTTCAAGTTGGCTTTGCATTGAATTCCTATGACTCATTGTTGAAATTTTCAGGAAATAATAAACAAATTCGAATACCGTATTTTTTACCAAATTAGCTTTTTTAATGTTATTGTCCCTTAATTTCACATTTCCATCAAATAATCTGAAGAAAATAATGAACAATTTCGAATACCATATTTTTTTACCAAATTGACTTTCTAATGTTATTGTCCCTTAATTTCACATTTCCATCAAATAATCTGACTATATGAAAATAAAAAATGATAAATTATAAAACATATCATGTTGAATAAATGCTTTCATATTCTAGATTCAGATTATGCTTAAACAAGGATAAAAAGGACTCGTTCATGTTGCAGCTATTAACCACATGCTATTAGAAATTTCTTTCCAACGATATTAGCGTTTGGTCGTTATTATGTAATTTTATTCGGGTTTCCGGCAATTGCGGAATATTGTCCTTAAATGTGCCGTGGGAAAATTAAATTATGTGAAAATTGAAAAATAAGGTTACGATGCTGTAACTTATCGAGACCATCTAGCTGTCTCAAAGTTCTTTCAGTATTTGCATATGTTTGCTGCTCTCACTTTACATGAAATATTGATTTTCGATGCCATTGTATGTTTCCATTTCGATTATGCATTGCCGTCTGCTATTCGTTGTTATAATAGTTAAAGTTAGTTCTTTGCGAGGTATAACGTGCCACAATCTTCAAAAATCAATTTTATTTTTTAAAGTGGTTCATGCGTAAAATATAGCATATGGATTTTTTCGATCTTGGCTTGCGGTAGTTGTCGCGCATTGTAAAAATATAGAGCATGTAGGCGAGTTTTGTGATCGTTTTAATCGTGGTTACGCTTTTTTTTTATACAATTTCGCGTGTGGTATACTGATATATTTATTGGCATTTCTCTTTAGAACAAGCGAAGGTGTGTGGTTGCTTCCGTTCTGTCTAATTGTGATTGTCGCTTTCGCATCCGGTTAGTCGTCTGCTCTCTTTCCTTCAGTATTGTGTATCCGATCGCTGGTCGTGATACTGATCACTTTTGAAATCAACGATGCTTGCTTATAACTGATTTTATCTTCCCCGACATGAATAGTTACTGAAAGATTTCTATCTAATTAGGTTGTTTTTGAATACTTTTCCCAATCAGAAACGTCGTCCATGTACCCCGAACTTTACTTGGTAACCTTTCAAAAACGGGTATGAAATTGTTGAACGACAACATTTTGATATCAATAAAAAAACATTACTTTATCCAATATTTGTTGCCGAATATGGAAGAACACATTGTGTTTATAATAATATTTTTCATTTCTTGAACATGTTGACTTACCAACACTGTTATCTTTGTTCGTCAGTAAATATTATCGACATTAAATTCTCTAGTCAGGGTTATTTTTGTTTTCTTCTGCCTCCAATATCTATTTACTTCCTCCTGCCATTGTGGTAAAACGATTTCGGTTTCTACTTACTCGAAAGACGCTGTTTTGCATATACGCAAAATACCATGTCTTGTTGTGAAATGTCCGCCGTCTTTTGAGGGAAGACTTCCGTGACCGACTTCTCGGTAGACCCCCTCCCCCTTTAACGTTTAAAAAATTTTCGCGAGGCAAATATCGGACCGTTCGTTGCATTATATTACATTGATTAGAGTGGCCGGCGGATACAAATTTTGGATTCCATTGTAATCAGTTTCACGGGGAAGCGCATGTCGCTCATTGTTCGTTTCGGTTCTGTAAATCAATCCAACGCTATATTGATTTCCAAGTATTGTTTTTGGCACGATACAATTCTGCGGCGGATTTTACATGGTCCACGGTTGATTCATGCAAATATTCTAAATATAAAATGCTTTAATTTAAATTTTCTTCACCGTAAGAGCTGATTGGGCCTGATGTATTTGAAAATATTAGATGGGCTTTTCTGACTGTTTTCTGATATTCGAATCTTACTCGTGGGCGCCATATAGCATCATGGTTTATATAAATCAGTGGTATTAAAAGTATGTTTTAACAAGTAGAATAAATAAAACTATTTATTTTTCTACAAATGTTACATTACAATTTCAAAGAAAAACAAATTATTACGGGATGGACACCTCTAGTCTAATATTTTACCAGTCATTTCGTACCTATTTCCACTTAACTCAATGGGCCGTGTTTGGTACATTTGTTGAATACCTATGATTGTTTATTTTTATTTACTTTCGTTAGGTTTCGTGTTGGTCAGTTGTGTACATTTGTTTACACTACTTTAAATTACTCTCATATAGTGTTTGCGAGGTGTAAAAACCAATTTTTCACACAGTAGCGCAATATCTTTTTTAAAAATTACTTAATATGTCTGTCAAAGTAAGATTTGTTACGCCCTCGTATCATTTTTCGCACTTTGACGATGAATGGAAGATTACTTTGCTGAGTTCCATTCGCTATCGTGAAAGTGCTAGTATTAAATACAGCGTATGTGGCTGCGAAGATTAATCATAAAGTTAAAACGACGGGACATTAATATGTCTTTAGTTATATCCCACTATTCTTTTCATATTAGATTTATATCAAACTAACGTTCTATATGGCTTCCAAATATTCTTCTGAGCAGGAAGACATTAAAATGGCATCTTGCGATTTTGTACTCTCGTTGATTAATATCGAAACTGCAATCAACATATTGCAATGTGTATTCCCAAATTATAAAATAATGGTTTCGCGACACAGGTTAGTTTTCGTATTTTTATGGATATTCAAAATAGCGCTGTTAAAAATTGTGATGTTATGTTGTAATAGATAAAAGTCGGTCCTGTCCAACCGTAGAGTACTACTATAGGTGCAAAAATCACACATATTGAGAGGGTAGTTTCTGCTCAAATGCAACGCGAGTTTTTTTGAGAGCACACTTTCAACGCGCGAATCTGCATTTGCTCTTACTCGGCAGATGATAAATTGTTTGTTGAAATGTATTGTATATGTTGGCCATGCGTCGATCATATTCGATTTTGCATGATTCGACGTACATAGTACACAAATTTAAACACGCCAGGCGGGATAGATTTATAAAATATCTTGCGTGATTGTTTTATCAATTGCCCACGCTTAAACCTCTCGTATCTTGCTGAAACTCGACACTCGCCGGGTTATCGTCTGACAGCGTCTGGCTGTTGGCGAAGCGCGGCAAATGAGAGGGTGGCAGGTCTGAGCTTGTCCGATAAAGCCTTTTTCGACTGCCGGCTGGCTGATACGTTTGTTTTTGTACGATATTCGTCTGTTCTGTAGTAAATAGCGCGTTCCTCTCGAGTTGAAATGTGCTCAGGCCGCAATTACGTAGCCAAACGTGGCATTCTATTTTTTCTTTTCTACAGCCCCTCTCAGAATTCTTCGTGTTCGTATCTTTGTTATGTTTCGAAAATAAAATTGCTATGACTTTTTACTTTGGTATGAAAATAAGCCCACACGTATGAAATATGGTAATGACGTAATGCTGACTCTGAGCGACGTTCCAAGCTTGCTTGCATTTATTATTTTTTTTTAGAATACAAAACATCACTATATTTTATATTTTTGCCTAATGAATGTGCACACTGACGTTATCTGTGCAATTCTACCCAACCATCATATCATAGATTCACTTAGTTTACAAAACTTCGGCCGAAGACACAACCGTGCCAACGTAACGCATTCGGTTATCTTCTATTGTGTGGGTGTGTTAATGTGACTAACTTGCTTGCTTACAGTTAGGGGTTGAAACGCAATCACTATCAAATTTCTATTCATTCATAAATCGTCAGTTCGTTGGCAGTTTCTTATCGTTATAAACGCCGCCTACCAGGTGCCATTTGCGACCTCAGAACCACATTCAAAGAAAAAATTGATTTAATGTTTGATCTAGCTTGAAATAAAGCTAAAAATAATATAAAAGGAGATGTTAATAGTATTATAATCCTAACATATTAGGCAGCGTAATGGAATTTAAAAGATTATCCTAATTGCTTATAATTTCTCCAGCATATCTTGTTAGTCAACTAGATATTAGACCTAATTTTGTTTGTACATAAAACATTCCATTCCCCTCTATTCACTTATTAAACAGGTTCGGCCAAATTATATTATTTTTCAACCAGCGACTTATCGATCCTATCTGGAACTTTTAAAATTGTTAGACTTAACCTAATATACATTGAATCAATTATTAATCGAATACTGATTTCTGAAACCAAATATCCGGTTTTGAAAAGTAAAATCAACACTCTGCAAGAAGATAACACATATTTTAATTATATTGATGTGATAATCAAATTGAAATTATCTCTTCTTTTGTAAATTATAGATTGGTCGATCAACAGAAGACCCCATCGATTTTGTTGTGATGGATATTTTACCGGGTGCGTCAATCCCATCAAATCAGTTAAAAAGCCACCAACCACAGCAAAGTACAATATCAAGGTAACCACTTCAAATTTTTAGTTTGTTTTAGTCAAATTTATCAAGAAATTGCGATAACAAACACATAGACGATAAGTAAATGTAATATATCTTATCATCTGATAGATTTGACAACATGGTTCAGATGTAAACATCATTTATCAGCAATTTTCAAGTAAATTATTTACCTATTGGGACGAAATGGTGAAATTGCTCACGTATACCAGTTAATTGTTGAAGTATAATTCTTCCTTATAATTTTTTCCAATTAAGGTTATATCGTTACTTTATACAGCGAAATGAAGATATATTCTGTGTTTTATAACCAGACTACGCTACAAAAAGTATTTTTCATTAGAATGAATGATAAATTCATTTATTTTTAGACTGGAGTATCTTCAGTAATTTTAAATTCATTTAATATCTAAATTTTTAGTAGATTCTTCAAAATATGAGTAGGCTATTAATTTACTAATGAAATCTAGCTTATTTCAAATATGTTTGATTAATATTGAAATTTAACATCTCTACATTGAGCATTAGGCTACAAACCGAATAGCCTTGTTTAGTCTTAGTGTTTTGCAATGCCCAATTACTTCTATTAATCATATTTATAATATTTGTGAAAATCGGCATGGCTCAAGTGCTTTCTTTGCTAACATGAAGAGGGATTTAAGATTGCTTGTCAACGCCCCATATTGAGACCCAGTATGCGTGCTTGAATGAGACAAAGCACCATTTAAAAGGGAATTTATTCTTTGTCTATGTCGTCTCTTATGTGTTTTTTTATCTGTGATCATACACGACAAAATAGTTTGCAATTCATGTCTTTGATATTTGCATAGCACTCAAATATGCCCTGTTACCTTGGTCAACAGACTTTGAAACTGATATAATGTTGTATATATTGGGGGGGGGGGGTTATGAATAAGAATTGTGAAAAATTATAGAGCATTCTGAGGTCTATTTATCTCAATACTTTTAGTTGGCTATTCCCCTATACCTGGCCTAAGGAAGTTTATTTTTATGATAGTTGAATTTTTAATCGCTTTTCACATTTAATTTGGTTTCATTCTTATTGATTGCATCAATGAGTCTAGAGCTATTTGAATGTGAACGTTTTTTACAATCAACTGTTATGTCTTTCTCATATTTTACTTATCTAAATTGTTCAGTTTGTTTATAAAGGGTTTTGCTTATTTTGAATGGTCAAATGCTGCTTGTTATTGCTACGTATTTATAAACAAACAATTATGTAGAGAGGAAGTGCTGGTAATTCATATCATATGGTGTTGATTAATAATTAGGGACAAGATGATCTTTTTCCTGTCATAAATAGTCAGCGTTTTGTATTCAAAAGAGTATGGTCAACAAACAATGTGACATGAAATATACTACATTGAACTGCCTGGCACTGTAAAATTATAAAATTAATCAAAACAATGTAGTCTATGTCTAATCTATTCTGCGCTGCCAAATTAAATTATATTAGTTTACAATGATTTATACTCATTTCTGTGTTAAAACGACCAAATTTCCTGTTGAAAATATTATTCTAAAATGTATTCTGAATAGTGAATTGGTTTTTGTCAATTTAGATTCTGGTTCTCATATCCATTCTATAGGGATGTATAAATTTAAGTATTGATAAAATCTGACAATGGCTAAAAATATTTTATTTTACTCTAGAATCTGCGATCTTGAATTAAAATTTCGTTTGATTGTGTTTTAACATACTACTCTATGAAACCTTCTATGATGAGTAATTTATTCAACCACTTTAAACTTATGTATATGTGAAATATTCACGCCTCCCACATTATTATTGAACTAATGTTCATAATTCAATTGTAGCAATAGCTCATATTCAGTAATTTTCGCAGATATTGACTTGATTCAAATATGATTTTGTGCTTTTTAGTGTTTTTGAAGCCTGACTTCAATAAGAAATGGATTTTTAGATATGGAAACATTAGGTATGATTATGAAATGTAACATTAACAATGGTTTTATTCTAACGGATCAAAAGATCTCAGTAGGCATAGCAAATTTAAAGTCTGAATATAATCCCGCATTCCACAGACTCTTTGTTATACATTTTAGATAAATTCTCAATGCAAATAACGAACCCTTTTACTTTGGCGGCAAATGACTTATTTTCTTTGTTTGTTGCGCCTTTTAGGTCACTTGCAAATAAAAATAATTCTTATTATTTGATTTTTTCATATCTTAAAATCATTTTTAAATCACGAGCTTTAAATGAATAATATCAGTTACTGAATGTTAGCTATTTAAAATTGTTATCAGCATAATAATTGATGGATGAAGTATGCTCCTGAAGTGCCATTTATAATTTAATATATTACAGAGAATAGATGGGATGATGTATTAGATAGACCTGGATCTTTCAACTCCTGCAATGTGTGTCTTTTGTTGGGACTTATCTTTACCGGTAGTTACTCAGGAAAAGCCTATTTTATTAAAATACTCAAAAAGTGAATAAAGTTAAAAACATATCCTGAGATCTTTCAACTCATGGGCTGTATTTCCTTTGTTTGCCCTTATTCCCACTCATAGTTACACATGAAAAAACCTTATTTCAATGAAATTTCCAAATGATTAATTTACCGGTATATATATATGGGATACTTTCTGATTTATTGAGAAAGGAATTGAATGGATATACATGGGTCTTTACTTTTTACACACTGTCTTTTGTTACTGGCATGTTCCTAGTAATTACACCGGTTTACAGACTTTTCAGAGCACAGGCTTTTTGGATCAAACTTTTCCGTCCTTGAGGTGACATAAGGCGATGTTTTGAGTAATGAGTTTGATTTGCAGTAGCCTTGGGAGTTGTTTAATAATAATAATATACAAATATGTGGGGATTTGTAGGACATTTGGGAATATTCACCACAGTAGCGACTACCCCAATTCTAACTATGCACAAATGTCCTATAAATCCATATATGATTGTATACAAATGAAAATCAAACTTGTTACCTGATAGGTGTTTGAATCGGTGTATAACTTTCCTATATGGTTATTTTCCCGGACCAATTAATGAAAGACACCTTTTGTGTTTGTATCTTCACATGCACTTTTTGAGGTGGTTTAAAACATGAACCATATTGCTCACACCCTGACTGTGTGATATTGTTCAATTTGATATTTCTAATCTGCAATTTCCACATATATATAGTAGGCTATATACTGAGTCTATCTACTAATCTCTCAGTTATAACTCTTGGTGTATGTATACATTAATGAGAATAAACAATTTTGTTATTTTTGAAGAAATTGGCTTCCAAAACACTTTGTGGACTTAGACAGATTTACTAAAATAATTTACTTTGAAAATCATATGGGATCTCAATTTTAAGAATAACAAATATATAGGCTGCATACTCCTTACCAATGGAAGGAATTATAAGCCACAGTTTTGACTTTGTCAGTTTTTGTAGGTCATTTTCAGTAATCAAACTAAGTCTAGACTGAGACATGTAGGTGTCGACTCCCTCTCTTCAATGCACATTAAATACCGCAAATTTTATTATGCAAACTGTAGTATAAAACTGTTTTCTTAGACATAGATGGCGCTTTTAAATAAATAATGAGTATCGTTGGAGCTTTTACTCTACTTTTATGGTGCGATCAAAGACCATTACTATAAAAAAGGGAATGATTATCATGACTGGATGCAGTAAGTGGTACTGCAGTTGAAGCAAAACTCATTACAATGGATTATTAAATTTAGAAATCTGTAAATTTTGTATCTCATTTCGAATCTGAGTAGAACTACTTAGAAGCCGAACCTTGCTATATGTTAAATTTCTGCTTGCTAGTGTGAATTTGAATCCATAGGCTACTTTTTTAAATTTTTAATATATCATCTTCTTTTCAGGTTCTCTTGTCGAATACTTTGTGAACGAGAACCACCATATACAGCGAGAATATATGCTGCTGGTTTTGATACTTCTATGAATATTATTTTAGGGGTAGGTTTGTGTTTGTACTTAGTTTCCTTGAAGTATTATATCGACACCTCAAAACCAAACAGTGCTAAGTCCACTTTTCCAAAAAATGACATTTTTTAATTGCTGATTTTCCTGGACTTAGCTCTACATTTTGGTCTATTTGCCTTATCTCTAGGTGCTCTAGATCTCAAAACAGCTATGGACATAACCCTGCTTTTTTTAGGGCATTTGAGAACTAAACAGAGCTGTGTCTACTATAGTGGACTTAGCTCTGGATAACTGCCTTGTAAGTTGGGACTAAGTCCGTTTTTTGGACATAGCTCCTCTCAAAAAATATAATACAAAGCGCTAAGTCCATACCAGCCTCTATAATAACATAATAAAGGGGCCCTAAGTCCAATAAAATTGTTTCTGGTCCAGAAAATTGAGAGCCAAAAAGGGTTAAGTCCAAAAAACCCCCCCCAAAAAAAAATTGGGGCGGAGCACAAATTTTTTTATACCATCTAAGTATGGCCTTCATTGTAACTTTGGTGGACCATAAAAACTAGACATCATCGATGTAAGGTATTAGAGAAATAAAAAAAAGAAACAAAAAAAAAACGTTTTTTGCATTTTTCTCAAAACTAGAAAAATGGACTTAGCCCAATTTGGATTTCATGCGTCGATATGATTGTTGAGTATGGACTATAAATATCATGATACTTTCTCATTCTTGCTATGTAGTTTGTAAATCAATTCTGATAATTTTATCTGTACGAACCCACAATATTGTGCGCTCCAGAAGTATGTGTACCAATATGGAGGTAACCAATTTTGTTTGCCCACTTTACATCAAGTTGTGTACAGGGATTGATGTGTGCTATGTGCAGGGAATGTATTCACTTGGCTAAAACAGACAGTTCCGAACTCGTAATAGAACTAAAATAAGGAAAATCAGACTAAAATTATGGCCTAACCCTAACCTGGTACACATACTACGGGAGTACCCAATATTGCATATTATATTGAATTGCAAAAATAACTTCTCATAGTTTGTATATCATATTCTGCAGCCATATTTTTATGAAGTTTGTTTACATCTTACACATTGACATATTTTATGCAGTAAATACTACTATTCCTACTGGGGATGTACATGGGAGAATTGCTATTCAAGAAGCTACTTTTTTATTTATTTCCACCACATCACTGAAAATATTCGGCAATCGACCACTGTATATATGTTTATGGTTACATTTTTCACATTGATTTCAGGAAAAAGCTCCAAAGTGGAAGACCGATGGGTTGATGGATGGTCTAACAACTAACGGTATTTTATTAATGAAACCAAAGAAAAGTTCAATGTCGCGGCAATCTTCAGAACCAGCAGGATGGAAAGAAGTTTCTGTCGGTGGTAGAATATACAGATTACGAGAAACAAGGTCGGCACAGCATCCTGGGCTACCTGTAAGTTGAAATGCAAATATACTTATTGCTTTAATATTTGTGTCTTCTGTTCTTAAAATGTGGTTTGGAAATCAAAGATAGCTAAAACTGTATTTATATATATTATTTGGAGTGGTGCTCATGGACTGACTGACTCATGACCACTCAAACCAAATGTTAATGCAATGCCAATAAGTAATATTATCTTACAGAATTCCTTGGAAAAAAAAAAATTCTCATCCAATATTTCTTGATCAACCATTCATAAAATGGAATGTAATATGTACATCACAGTGAGTGATAAATTTGTTAAGGCTTCATCATCGTTCATTGACTAGCTAGCAATTTTTATTTAAAGTTGGATTAAATACAAAATATTGACCGTTGATTATTGTCAATTTCAATATTGTGACTTAAGGGTACATTAACCAATTGAAACGGAAGTTTTTTTTATTTTAAATGTCATGTTTCTTATGTGTAATAGAATATTTAATTTATTTTTACCCTCTTCGTCATAATACCACACCTATTGAAATTTCCTGAGTTTAGTTGGTCATTACTGAAAAAAACAAAAAAATCGAAGATTTTCTTAAGTATACATGGGAGATTTTCCTTAGTATCAAATCAAACCAACTCACTTGTCTCTCGAAGATTAAAGAGTTCATTCGCTTGCTTTGGTATTTGTGAACTAATATATCATAACTTTTATTCGTGTCCATTAAAACAAACGCTCTGAAATCATAGCCTGGAATGTTTTAGTTGACAATTATCACAGCAACCTTATATTTACTCACTAATATACTTTTATGGGATAAACATCATATGACACATGATTAATGACAGTCTATCAAATTAATCCTTCCACTTTGTTCTGCAATAATCAGTCAGACATGGTATGGTGATAAATCTTACCTAGCGTGTCTAGTTTTGCTTTGAAAAATGTATGATTTGTTGCCACATAATTAAATGTTTTCAATTCTTGTGCCACAGATTACCGATGAAGATAATATATTAGAGGATGGAACGTTAATTGACTTATGCGGTGCTACTTTATTATGGAGATCTGCATCTAGTATGCAACGTATGCCGGTAAATATCAAATAATTTATTAACTATTACATTTGATTACAAACTTACCCTATCATGTTTGTATAATGTTTCAATGTATGAATCGAGCACAGGCTAGTGATTAAAAGCAGTAGGCCTAGCTATAATGGCACCATAGGTTGAATCTCAGATTCAAATCCCAGTCCAACAACACACCCATGGTCTAATGAATTAGGTAGGCAATGCCAAAACGAACGAATCCTGTTCTTCTGAACTATATTGGCTCCTTACCTAATAGTGGCTGTATTTGCAGTCATGTTCAGAGCGGAAAGAATATGAATATTTCAAATATAAAAAAATGAATGAAAGTGTGACAAAGTTGGTAGAAAAAGCCTTTCTACCTATTCTATAACACATTATCGGCAACCTTCAAATTCAAATGCGTCATTGCTAATGATAGTTTCTCTGATAAATTTGCATCTACCTATGTATTTTGTATTCCCACCAAGACATACCGCTCTTGTTTACTAGTTAATAACTTCTCGATCTTGCCTGGACAAAACCGATCTGTCTGAATTATGAAAAACATTCCTAGGAAAATAGCTCATTAACTGATGTCATCTTTATTAACAGACACCTCGACATATAGATCGTTTGATTGAAGACATCAACCTTGAAAGACCACAGTGTCCAGTCGGTCTGACCACTCTTGCCTTTCCTCGACGTTCACATGCTAACAGACCTAGCGAAAAACAACCATGGGTTTATCTGGCATGTGGTCATGTACACGGAAGAATAGATTGGGGAAGAAGAGGCGAAGAAAGAATGTGCCCACTATGCAGAACGGTAAATATATTTTCTTTTGCACTATTAAGACGTTTTTGGCCTCCATTGTTTTTTTGCATATATTCATGTACATTTCAAACTTTTTTGTAACCGATTTTTAAACAATTTATAGTTTCTATTCAATTAATAAAGAATCCAGCTGCACACTAACACAAATGTATTTCTGTAACGTTCTCTCGCGACCCAACTCAATTTTAATTTATAGTTTGTTCTCGATTGTTTATTTGTAACTGGCGTGGGCATTTTCCAAACCAGTGCAAATGTAAAAATGTTGGTAGTTTTATAGACATTATATTCATTTGCATTAAAATGCTTTTTGATAAACTCCATTATTTTAATTCCACTTTAGGAAAGAAATTCTCCTAACTGGTAACATTTAATATATTTAGATCGGCAAATATGTCCCCTTATGGATGGGCAATGAACCAGCGTTTTACAATGATCGTGGACCCCCAACACATTGTCTTGTACCATGTGGACATGTTTGTTCAGAAGTTACGGCAAAGTAAGTAAACACTTATAAACTTTTTATCAGTTCTCTATTCTCCTTTGTAGTCTCAGCAAAAATTACATATAATATGGTTTAATGGCCAAATTTCAATCTGTGTTTTTTTTTTACAGGTTTTGGGCATTAACCCCTTTGCCACACGGAACTCAAGCTTTTAATGCCGCTTGTCCATTTTGTGCAACCCAAATTGAAGGTGATCCTGGATTTGTTAAATTAATTTGGCAGCCAATGTTAGATGGATAGCATGATATTACTTATTTTTATCTTTCAATTATTTTTGTACCGTTTTTTTTGTCACTGTTACGACTATTATAAATTTTGTGTGATTTTTTTTCTTCGTTTGTTTTACCGCCTGGGATTGAAGCGCAGGGTTCATTATTTGGGGTCTGGTTATTATTACATATATCAGTGGTTTTCAACCCGGTTTTGCAAGCTCACCCGAGAGTCTACAACTCGTTATATACGTTTTAGATACCTGTCAATTGATACGTCATTATCACAGTTAAGCATGTGTATATTTGTAACAATTCAATTATACCAATATCTTAATTATACGTACCTCTGCCCCGATCTCTTGCGGGTGCTCTCCTCTCACAGCATGGGAATATTTTTCTGATTCTAATTTTGATTTGGGAACCACTGGTCCATATTATTATATATACGTATATCGTTTAAATATATTCAAATACATGGGTATAATATAATAAGTATGTTACAGTAGTATTCTGTGAGATCCATTCAGGTGTTCCGCATCAAAATGTTGTTTCATATTTTTTTGATTGGCATATTTTATGAGAATAAAAATAATCAATTGAAGTGTTTCATCGGGCTACTGCTCCACTAAAAAAGGTTGAAAACCACCGACATATATTATTAAAAATCTCAGCATTGGTGATCTTAGTATGTAGCCAAAAATGGGAGCATTTATAAAAAATGCTTGATAAAATGTTTATTACTTCTCTTCTTATTCATACTAGTAATTATTGATACTAATAACTGGACATCCCTAATGTTGATAAAATCTCCCAACAACCACTGTGTGTGTACAACAACGAGACATCAAATGCTTTGTTCAATTCTTTATTATTATTAATTTTTTGGTTGTTTCAATAACTTGATGACTGATCTAATATGCTTTAGCAATCGCCAATCCAAGAGTGTTGCAGTTTTAACTTTATAAAAGACATGCTATTGCCAAGCATGGGACATACATGAGTTGTACTACAGTCTACAGTGATACGCTCATATTTGGGTTTATAATGTTTGTGTTTAAAAACAGATACTTCTAGAGAGCTATTTAAAAATCACAAAGGCTCCAGCTACCATAAAACAAGCCTAATTTTAAAACTTATCATTAAAGGTTCAAATATACAAATTTACTTTGGAAATTATGAATTAATATTGGAAATGAATTAAAATATATATATATATATAAAGCTCAACAGGATAGATAATAGAAAATTATGAATTTGAAAAAATAGTAGATAGTTGGGAGCTGGAGCCACTAAAATTTGTTAGCTCCATCTTCAATGTGGGCATTGTTAAATCATTAAAATGTGCAAACTCTATCAACTGTCGCAATTGATACAAATCGCCTGATCGCAAAAGTCATATTAAACCCTAATCATATAAAACTAATATTTTTACCAATGCCTTCTTCTTCAACAAATTCTGACTGGAATATTTCATGCTCAGCAGTGAGAAATTTTTACAGACTTTTCAGTTATTTGACCGGACCAACATGAGTGAGAAATCATGTCTTCGAAAACTGTTTTCCTTCAGTTTTACATATTTGAATGCAATGTAGTTGTGTGATTGACCGGTGTTTTTCCCGTCTGCTCATAAGATTTAGTTTTCTCAACAAGGCCTATGTGAAAAAATACTTTTGAAATAGGCTGACATGAAAATAATGTATTCGTTGATTATGATGAATTCATACTCTTGATCGTTGGAATGAGTGAGGTTTCTTGATTTCAACGGAGATTGATTGATTATCCTATTTTATGTTTCTATTGCCATTTACTGTTAAAAGCCGGAAGGTTAACAAAATAAAAAGGTGTAAAATATAACAGACTTTGTATCATTAGATTGAATATTGGGTGACATAGGTTGTGGTATGAAGATACAAATTTAGTTTTCAAGGCCAGGTGTAAGGGATCTGAAAGACAGAGCGCATCTTCTACATTCAATTGATTAGCACAATTTCTCAAGTCAGTGCCAACAACTAATTATTTGAAGTTATTCAATGGATTGGATGGAGATTCGCTTTTCTGTCATCTATTGATTGAATGAATTGTTTGTTGCAATATCTATGTGGTTGTGCTTATATTTATACATAATTATGGCCGACTATCGTGGAGCAGATGAAAAATTCGAATGAATAACAAAATCCTTACAATTTTTGCAAGAAAGAGTATATAGACCAATGTTGCTCTATGGAGCCTTAGCCTGCTATCTTTATTGATACCATGAAAGGAATTTGTCTACCATCTAAGCAGATTACCATCTCAGCCAGTAATCACTCATCAACAGAGGGTAGAAGCTATTTTCTTTTGTTCCAAATTACAATTTTTTACAAAAAATCACACATCCATAATCTTATAATTTATTACTTATAATGTAACTGTTAACGACAGATATTGGCAAGACCAAAACATGATTTGATCACTTTCAATTGATTATGAGACTCACCAAATCACAAACTGAACATGATTTGTCAAAGTGAGTAATCATAATCCTGTTAAAATACACTCCTAAGCGTCTAAATGAGCAAGTATGATTGCATATTTTCCAGAAACCATCCAATCTTCATCCTTTTTAGCAGCATCTTCTGCTTCACCTGGTGCTAATCCCACTACCACATCAGCTTTCAAAGTCCTAAGAGTACATAATGGGGCAGGACTAAAGCCCAGGACTGAGGTGGCAAAGGGTATCTCACTATCCCAAGCAAGATCGCTCACCAATTTCCTAAAATTCATGTCACCTTTAAATATAATAAGTGCAGATGACTCCAATCGTTGATATAATTTCGGATCATGTTTGTGCATTTCTGAATAAGGCCTTGAGAGTGTCCAAAATTGAGAATTCTCTTTCGGTGCAACTAGGAAAGTCCTATCTTGTAATCTCTTGAGCCACAGCTTTCCATAACTAGCCAAAACCTTGTTTTCAGTTTGAGACAAAGTCTTGAGTGTGTAGTCAAAATCTTCAAAGGTAACATCTGATACAAACCATGGAATACATTTTACATGAAACTGAATAGAATCAGCAATCTTCGATTCAAGTAGAAATTCTGCCAACATTATATCAGATGAAAACTCAAATCCAGCATTATCAATGACCATGTCCACTCTTATCTGTTAAATAATTTAATCCAAGTTAAAACAATATTTTGTAGAGGTTAAAATGTTACACTAAATCTGAGGTTACATATCTCAGGTTCAGAGTGTAATAAATTGGACAGCCAATCAGGAACCGAAGAGATTTCAAACCTCCCAAAAATAGGAGCTCCTTGCATATTGTTAGACATCAGTAGATGCTTGCACAGGGCCTTGTTCAGAGCAAAATTTATGAATAAACACCATTAAAAACTAGGCAAATAAAATTGAATTAAACTGCAGTATTTTAACAGTATAACAAACTTGACAGATGACACATCCTTTCTCAAAAATTTAAATGGCTAATATTATACACAACCTAGACTTGTATAGAATGAGGGATTGTAATTCGCCATATAATTCAGCTGTCTCGCTGACTAAACTTCAAATAGAGGTAATGTTCAATCATATACATGACACATGAGCAACTCAAACAAGAAGAGCTATTTGCAAGAATGAAACGAAAACAGGCATTCTCCAGTAGAAATATTTTTGATAGAACTCAAAGAATTTCGTTGGATCACATTTAGAAATTATGAGACCCAAATGCTTCCAAATTAACTTTCCTAATGTTGAAAAGAAGTCGCTGTCTGTTATGAAAGAGAACATCAAAATCAGTCTCATGCTACAGAACACCAAAAGAAACCACATCATAATTAACTGTGCTTTGACAGGGCCTATAATTCAAGAAAAAAATGTGTTTAATAAAATAAATTATTGCTACTCACTTTGTTGCCAGATTGTTTAACATTACAAAGATGTTTGAATATTGCCTCTGAATTATCAGCGAGTAAGTAAGATTCCAACTCTTGTAATGTTTCTACCGGGTTATGAGATTCATGATCTTTGTTTTCACCAGCAGTTAAAGATAAATCAAACCTATTGCTCCACAATGATGCCTTTACGAAAAAGATCACAATATTTGATTCTCATTCGCCTAAGAATTATATGCACATAGAAAACTTTCCGCATGTTTTTCAACACAATGTCTCAGCAAAATTGACAAACTGAGCCCCTACAATTGGCAGAACTGGTTCTTTCGGTTTACAAATTTCAATATAAACAATAACACTGTTAGCCTTTTATCATATGTTGGCTGGGAGAATGTGACAAATCTATCCAAATCCAAACTAGCCGAAAATGAGAGACACTCGAGCACAAGACATCAGGTTGGAGTCGGCACGCATTTTGTTTAGGCCATACTAATAGAAATTTACAGCTGATTCACTTACTGCAAGTGAACCAACTGCAGACTATCTTAGCACAAGTATGCACACAGTAACAGTAATTTAAAGATTTTTCAAAGCTTGCAATACAACCTTAAGAAATGTTTGAAAACATTTCAATAACTCAGTATCTTGAATTAAATTCCTTTCTTCCGAAATTTTTTTTAAATGATCAGCCATAGTTATTAGACCAGGTATTGCATTGTCTAATGCCACTCTCTTTTGGTCTTGGTAAGGATCAAACGATTTCATGAAATCACTGAAATAAAAATTTGAATCAAATTGCCATCATCAAACATGGATAATTATAAGCAATATATGGAGCAAAACCATTGATCAACCAATCATTGATCAACAATCATAATTGTACACAAAAATGCAATATTTGGTTGAGGAAAATCAGACTTGTTTACGACAAACCCAATTTTGCTATAATTGTGACATTCGACAGAGTCCTTCTAATTCATTCTAAATATGAATATAACATGGCACTGAAATTTTTTTTATACCTGTTTTGTAATATTCCTGAAATTCTTCTATACATCATGCATTCTGAAAACAGCCATGGAGATGTGAAGTAAGAAGGTTTTTCATCTTGGGAATTTCTGTTACAATACAAAATTGTTCATGTAAAACACTGTTACACCACGTTTAGCTTTCGTCTTTATTATACTTATGGCATGCTATTGTATACAGCACAAAGTTTCTTTGACAAAATTATATTTAATGCGCTATATATAGAGTCATAATATAACACAGAAAAAACAGCTTTATACGTCCTGGATGAAAGAGAATAGGCAACATATCTAGCTACACACTTGAGATCTGTTTCACACTTTTGTATCAGACACGACTAAACAATCAGCAAATAGTCCCTATCCAGGATTTAATATTGTGAGAACAAGTAGACTACACTGGGACATGAAATTCTAAAGCAAACATAGTTTAACCAGTTTCAAATGTTCAGTACGTCCATGACAAAATAGCTAATTTGGATAGTCAAATACAAAATGATATAGAAATATGATAACTTGGAATTTAATCAACGCTTTTAATTATCTACTCATAGAATTCATAAGTCAAGTTTCTATTGAAAAATATAGACTCTACTTTGAGAACATTTAGTTAAAACACATTCAATATTTCAAAGTAGAAAAAAAGGTTCCAAAAACTAATCGAAATTGAGAAAACAGAATCCATGTTAATATTGATTTTGTGGATTTCACTTTTTATAATACAATCATCATTTGAATCACTAATCAATTTCCATTTTTCTATATAATCTACTGTCACTATGTCTTGACATATCACAGTCCTTTTGCAATGTTTCTGTTTTAGGCTATAAATTTTCTCAAACTTCATATACTCACTTAAGTTCATTCAAACAATCATTCCATTCACTTGCATCCCTCAAATCATCATCCAATTCAACAAATGGTTTATCTGTCATCAATTCATTCCGTAACTTTGACATCTGACCAATTACTTTTTTAACATCTTCTGCTCCTTTCTGTAAACAATAAAATAAAAAATAAAATCGGTCATTCATTTTTTTCCCTGTATAAAACCTGACAATATCAAGCACAAAAAATACAAATAAACACAGGTTGACATATCCTGAGATAAAATTAAAAACATGTTCATCATCCAACCAAATTAGAACTGAACACTAAAGAGAAGTAACACGAACATGACAATTATTATCAACATTCGAGCATTTCTTGTGAATTGCTGCATTCCCAAATGCACATGCAGCATACTGCTCTTTTTCTGGCGCATTTTTGTGTGTTACCCTGAGCTCAGTTGTTGTTTAGAATGGTCCTTGTTTGTCCGTGCATCGTTTACTGCATGCTAAGGGGTATGTTTACACTTTGTTCACTGCATTGCCACGATGTGTGTATACCTCGGGAGTAACAAACGAAAAAGTGCCCTATTTTCATATGCTATTCACTTTAGACACAATCTGCACATGAAATCGCTTTGGGCAATTTCTCCTATGACAATATGAAAGAGTTCTCAAACTTTAAAACCTTGTGCAAATGATAAAGAAAAATAAGCTAATGCGATGAATATTTAAATTCATGTAAAATTCTTCATGATAAGTTACAGGCATTTTATTCATGTTGAAATTATATATCAGAACAATACACAAAATATATTCCAATTTCAGAAATATTAAACAGTTAAATGTCAGTATTTACCTCTCCATACTTTTCATGATATGGTTCTATTTGTTTGTGACACGCATCAATTGCTTTTGTCAAAATAACAGGCATGCGATCCTTGACAGTTTCATAAGCAAAGGACCTTAAAAGAGAATGTATATATTATTAGAAAATACAAGCATTTTACAATCTTGAAGACGGAAAACAGTAAAATATACGGTAACGTTAACAATACCATAAGGTAACGATGTATTGATATAAATCATTGTACAGCTTCAACAGTACATCAGTATATGATAATCAACTTACTCTTTATATCTGGCAGAAAGAGGCTTCGGTAAGGAATCAGACATTTTCGATTTGTATTGAGAAGGCCGCAAGCGTGATTTTGCAATAACCCTCTACCAAAAAGTGCAACAGCCGCTTGAGGGAATTCCCCTTGTGGCAAATCCCCCGTTCATTGATGAATGGATGCCAGAAAGGCAAAAAAGACCGGTATCGATATCAGATTCAAATTTGTAATACAGTAGCCAAATGATGTTTTGACTGTTTTTGAGTGACTGTTTCAAATTTAAATATAACTCATTATAAGTCAGCTTAATTGCAAATCTAATATTCTAAAAAAGCTATCTTATATTATGTGAATATTCATTAATCAGTTAATCGTCAAGGATCTCTCGTCAAAAACTAAAAAAATACCTAATATTTGTAGTCTAGTCTAGTCCGTTGGAACCGAGGTATAGAGGTATTCAACTGTGATTTTTCTAACTGCTGGAAGGTGCTTGGAGATTTATTTATGGACATCGCGCAGTATTGCTATATTGAACGGTTGAACCTAGAAGCGCAATCAGAACTTTATAGAGGGTAAGCTAATTCTATGTGCAAGGTTATAGAAAATGATTGTTGTGGTAGATTATAACCTCTGACTCTTGAATGCCAATACACTGCTGCATTGTAGTCTATTTGTGTGGAAATCATCATTGTTGTGTCACAAATTTGCAGATATTTTTGTTTCATGCCTTATGCTGGTGTACGAAATACCTATATAGAAAAAATCGCAACTTTAGAGATCTGGAATGGTTCTGATGCCTTGAAAAGCTGGTGGCTCATTTGCTTCTGAATCCTGCGGATAAGAGCGTTTGCCTATTGTTTTATAGAAATAGAGATATCATGTTCCTCATCATACTGAGGTTAGGATAGAATTTACATATTTATCCCGGGGGAGAGGAAAGCCGATAAGACGGCTTATCCATATGGCGAATCACGGCCTCTCGTCCGGTTATCATTCCAAGTCGGGTATGGGATTAGTTTTTACTGTATTGTTTGTTTTCGGAAGCATGGACTTGGTGGTGGAGGAGGCCGTAACCGACTAGCGGTTACGTGAACCACCCAACGGCGGCGAGGAGTCCAGCAATCCTCTCGCACATAACCATCCCTGCATGGGATTCGAACCTGCGAACCCACGCAGAGTAATTAGAGGTGCGGTGGCGAGCGTATTCCTAACGCTTAGCCCGTTGAGCCACACCGCCGCGCCAAATGTTGTCCAGAACAAATGACAATAATTTTAAGCAAGGCTCTGTAATGAAATATTTTTCATGCAACAAATTTATCACTTGCTGAAATTCAAACACAACCTGTTTTTAATCCCATTTATGTGCACTTAATTCCTATCTTCAACTTGTCCTTAAGACTGATTTACATTTTACTAGCATATTATGATTAAGGTGTCTGTAAGATTCGACAAATATTTGGAATTATTATTAAAAAATGAAACAAGTATATATCAATTTTATATAATTTAAACCGGTTTTATTTTGATAAAATTTTACAATTCAAAAACGACATTGAAATGAATAAAGTTCAAAATTGAATGTTAGGCCCCCTAGGTATCTTGCTTTAATGTTAAATCCAGCCCTGGATATAAGTATAAGTTTATTTCGACTCCATAATCAGCATAACAATACATTTGACAGATAAAAACAAATAAATAAAAACTGATTATGAAATCAGGGGAGCGAACGAAACCTTAGATAAGGTTTATAACGTACAAAATATAAGATGGCACACACATTCTAGCGCCGCTGTCCACATTTTGATTAAAACAATTTTCGATTATTATATTTTCTGTTTTATCGTAATGGGAGACAGCACTTTGCGGCACAACTAAATTACTGCCAACATGAAAGGAATTAAATCAGCGCCGACTTGAAGTACCAAACGTATAACATGAGGACATTTTTGATTGAAAATATTTTACAATCATTATTTTATATTAAGGTAGTCGAGATATCCTGAGCGGACATGGCAATAAATTTGGTTATTTTTCGCAAGTCTTCTCAAACATGATTTGTGTGAGCGTCATTATATGAGCTGATATATTTTATAATGTATGCCAAAGTGTCTGCCGATTATTTAATTGACTTTGCATACCAGCTGTTATTTGTCTTAATCCTAAAAACAAAAACGTGGCCGGTGCAATGAAGCACTCCCTGCCCGATAACGGCACTTCAGAAAGCAAACGGCTACCACAAAATAAAGTGATTGATTTATGACCCTTCCGTTTCAGGAAAAAAACACAGCTGTTGCCTAACCAATGGAGGTACAGCGCAGTATTCATCACACCATATTCATATGTTATTTCAACTTTTCAGTTACCGTAAATGGTTGTTCAAAATGATTGAAATTACAGTTTTATTGTTAAGAATTAATGCTGGAGTATTATTCTGAGATTTTTTGGTGCTATCTGAGTTATGCGAGAAAAAGACGGTCCCTTAGTTGGGCAACTTTTTTTTTGAGTTTTAAACTCGGCGTATTTGCGAATAAATACGGTAAAACAGCTTAATGATACAGTGAATTCAGTGTTTTCAAGTATTGCTGTGTGAATTCCATTTTTGTAGTTTTTAATGCGGCACATTTCTTAAAACTAATGTGTCTCAAATATTCATATCCATTTTTCCCAATTACACAGGATGTGTCCATACTTTGCCGCTGAATTTTTTGAAGTCTTAAGTTTTTGTATTTTTGTCCGTTTTTTTTTATTTTGACTCGTTTTAAACTTTGTGTCATAGACTCCTAATGACCTTATCAGATATCCATGTCACCTTATCCTGGTGCAACCATGCCATCCCATTTTGGTCATGTGAATTTGATGATCAGTATTTTATTTAATTTCAGAGTGCAGGAATGTATTGTGATTGTTGAACTACTGAACTAAGTGTTTCACCAGGGCCTTTAAAGAAAAATGTCAAAAGAAAAGGGTCAAAGCACAACTGATGTGAGGGAGAGCATCGCAATTATTTGTAGAATGTTGAAATATTCAGACATTTATCACAACTTATCACCTGATAGCATTCGACAAGCAAAGTTTGATAAGCCTGAAGTGGTGAGGAACAAATGACCTGTACTAATAGTGATATTTTCTAGAAACTATATATTCAACAGATAAATAATGAGGATATATATAACCACATACCTAAATGATACTGATCGAAATCTAAATTGCAATTTAGAATTTTCTATATCCTTGTCTTGTAAGTGTTTCGATACGCAAAACGATACACAAAAAACAGAGATTTTTATATATTTCGAATAAAAACCTGAATCTGAACCTGAAGAATCTAATCATTAACTGAAATTCAATCAGGTTATATTTCATTTTTGAAGTATTTAACAGCATTCTGAAGGAGAACCACGAAAAAGTAAGGAGCTACTACAAATTGAAATGACTAGATAATTCTAGGCTATGTATTGCCTTGGTTTTAGCACTGTAATATCCAAGACTCGAACCGAAGAGTCAATCCCAATATACTTATGGCTAACTATGAGGCCTTGCTAAGAGCAGTATTTTTTCATTCTATATTCAGGTAAACACTCTTGTTGAAGTTCTATTTGCCATCATTGAATATGATGACAAGTCAAATCAATCATCAGTCGGTGAGAATTTGCAAACAAAGATTATTGTCAACAAATTAAAACATTTATGGTAAGAGATTCATCCTGATGAGATCCTATGTGGGGTTTCTAATTATTTTATATGTTAATATGAAGTTTTATACATCTTGTTTATTTACGACTAAAAATAAAATATTGATAGGAATAAGATATTGATAATGCTTTAAAGGTATCGTCGAACTGTTCTTTTTCGTTGAAATAAATATCTCCACTATAGAATTTTATTCACAGGTATCCACGATTATCAATTCTCATTGATGAAAAAGGAAAATTCCATTCAAGTCGTGAAATATTACTCGCTATATCATGGTATTTTCATTGTGCAAGAACATTTGATTTCATCAGAAATAAAGCTTCTGAGCCAGTAGATATTCTAAATATTTTATCAACTTTAACAAAGAAATCAAAATTTCCAAAGACTTGTGACAGAAAATCTACCAGTAATATGGACCAACTTTCTATAGAAGACAAAATGAACTATATTTCATGGCTGGTTTCCCAAATTAGGGCATTCAGTAATCAAATCATCTCAATTGAGTCTGGGAATCAGTGTAAAAAATTTCAGGTTAGAATTTGTATTACTGTTATTTTTATTCTCAGTTTAATTCGGAATTTCTGCCTTTTTAAGAGATTCTTTTGTATGCAAAAATAGATCTTTGAATTGAAGAATTTTAATTTTACTAAAATCTATTATTCCGCCTACTTTGTATAAGAATTATCCCTTTATTAAACCTTGTAATTTTAGTTAGCTGTTTTATATCACTCTCATTTTTTGAATTTGTATTATTAAAATTTAACTTTTTATCAACTGTGGGATAACAAAATTTTCATACAAAACAATCAGTTCACTGGGAAGTTTCAACTCCTGGCTTCGAAAAATCATAAATGTTAAGATATGGAACTAGAGCAAATGAACATTTCAATGGTCAGGCGTAAAATATGGCACTACTATCTCATATATTTTTCTTTACAGATAACATCATATACAATAAGTAGTTTCCAACAAGATCCTCTTTTATTACTTGTTCTACGTTATCCAGCATTACAAACTGAGGTAAATGTATTTTTAGTTACTTCGGCGTTTGTAGTTTGTTCACGACAAGAAGGTCTTTTACCACAGTCAGTAAAGATGTATTATTCTGATGCATAAAGCTCTTTGTACTATTTTTATCAGATTTCTATGACTTGGGCTCACCCTCAAAGTAAGAAATTGGTTGGCTTTCAAAATTTTGGTTGCCGTCATTCAAAAACATCAACTTTTTATATTTCACCCTTGTTTTTCTCCATGCTTGATTAGCTAACCATGGTCCTTATCATATTATGACTTGCAATTTTTTATGTATTTATATTTATTCATCAGTTTGAGAGGCGATTGGAAAGAAAAGTATTACTATTGCAATCTTGTATAAAATGGAAAAGTCTTCAAAACGTTTTCTGGGTTTGGATGGTAAGTTCATACGAATTCAAATATCAAATAATATTTCTTTCAAATATATAATATTAAATAAAAAATAGAAGACAAGGTTAAAAGGGATTCCCTGTGAACACAACAAACCTTAATCTAAGTATGTTGAACCACAATCTTCCAATCAGAAACAGAATATTTTTATATAACGCATATTTGAGCCTTACGCTCTGAACAAGCTCTAACATTTAATGTAATGGAAGGGGCTACTACGGCATTGCTGACCCAATTTATTACACAGCGGGCATGGGATTTAACCTGAGATGTGTAGTCTGCGATGCCTACACAATTATTTGTTGTTCTTGAACAACTCGCCCTTGGCCTAACAGTAAGTAGTGACCAATTTAACATTCCATAAGCTGTACGGTGGAGGGGGCTGACCAGCAGCTCATATATATATAAAGCTACATATCCGTGGTTTTCAACCTTTTCATAGCTCGTGACCCCCTTCCAGAGGTTTCTAGCACCCATGGCCCCCTGAATGTTGTAGTAGTTTTATTAAAATTAAATATTTTTATATATTGTCTGATTTCAATTCAGCTTTTGCCTTTATGAACTGTAAATATATTTAATTCAAAACAAGGATAGTGTTCTGAGCAATGCTCCATGTCAGGAATCAAAAAGCAATTCTACCTTTGATGTACAATCAACATGTCAGTCACCCTTACTTCCTGTGTTCAAAGACAAGATGAAATGTCTACAGACTGAAGTAGAGAAAAACGTTGAAAACACGAGTGAGGTAGTCTTTCATTGTTGTGTTAGTTTCAGCCTTTTGTTATATAGTCTTCCTTGTTGGGTAAAGCAAAGATTGAATGTAAAAAGATGTAATGAATATCTGTATTCCATAAGCATCAAATTGGTGCCATGCCGCTCACTTATGCATATCCATTCAAATTTCCAGTGGGCTTTGTCAAATTGCAGGTGATAAATCAAGTGGGCTAAAATGAAATAGAGTATGAAGCCACTAGAAAGTTTGAATCTGAAGTGCTATTACAGCCAGCTTTTGAGTGGATGCAGAAGTCGTATTATAAAGTTTTAATATATTGATGTTTTATTATGGTATGTTCACAAATGTACAGATCTTTCGATCGCGTCACCTTCTCAAAAACCGTTGGTGCTGGGTTAAAAATGAACCGAGTGGAGTTTTAACTTGGTTGTTTTACTTGAGAATATGGGATACCACGCTATTGCTAAGTATTAAAATGTTCGAACCATTTTTATATGTATTTAGTTGGAAATTCAGAACAATGCCACAAAAAAATTTTTGAATAAAAAAAAGAATCTATGTTTAACACTCTATCATCTTGTTATTTACAGAAACTCGATCTTTTGTCTTCATTACAACCAGAACAAAGAGCAGAAATAGATAAAGAAATCAATTTGTTGAATACATTGATAAGAGATGCAGGTCGTCATCCAAAGTTGAGACGAGTGAAAGGTAGAATAATATTCTGAATTGTGGAGATCTTATTTATACTACGTTGTTGCAACGACTTGATCGGCTCATTATTGTTGAAGACCTGAAATATTGTTGATACCCTGTCACATTTTTTCCTTCACCCTAAAGTAAAATGGTTGTGTTTGGTCAATCTTATTTCTCTCCGGTCATGATCATATTGTAGTTGGTGAAATCTAAACTGTTTCCATTTTTAAATTCAACTCATATCTATGCTCTCGAAAACCATTTAAGAATGAAACTCTTTCAAAATGGAATTTTATACAATTTCTTTCCAGGTAACAGCGTTAGTTCAGTTGACCATCATGGACATGGTGTGGAGAAGATCATTCCGTTGTCTGAAAGTGATAGACTTGAGAATTGTATCAATAAAATGGAGGAAGCGATAGATAACTTGAGACTGACATGCAAAGAGAAGATATTACAAATTAATGGAAATTTCCCAGAAGTTGTTCTCATTCCACCTGAAGTTCCCAGTCATAAAAAAGCAGTATCTGAATTTAGATCATGTTCAAGTTGACATAAGCCAGAGATTTATTAAACTTTCTGTATAAGCTAGTTGTTAGCCATCCTTCTTCAACACTCGAAATAAATTTCTGGTTGTTGCACAGCCAATGTAATAACGTGTATAGTGTATACATTTCATAACTGTTTAGTCCCACGAGTTTGCTTGGACAATTTTTGCACAAAATGGGCCATTTTATACGCCAAGTGTGGCCAATACGTCGATCGCTACGTCTCGAGTATTCGATCGCGTCTGATGTTGAATGAATTTATTAACATACCTTTAAAAATTAGAGCTCATGTTGTGTGTTTTAATAACAGGAATAATGCAGTACCGTGCATGGAAAAAATGCGACATACACATGTAGTATTTGAGCATTGATGACTTAACAAAGGTAAGGTATCAATGATTTGAGTCTGCGCAAGACCGATAGAACATATCATTATTACGTAACAAATGCAAGTTTCGCCGCTGCCTAGGTTTAAAATTAAACGAATATCGTGTGCTTTGACAAACTGCAGTATGAGAAAGTAATTGTCACATTCCAAAAGTAGTGTGACAAATTTTATTCGCAGCGGTAGCAGTGGAATCGGAATGTCCATTTTTCTTATTCCAAGCGAGCGAGGAATTGGACTCTGAGGAAATTGTAATTTGAATGCTGAAGTTTGAGCAGTCGTGTGAAATCTATGGTTTGGGAGTAGTGATTTTTCGCTGTTTAAATAATATATACATGTTTTTTTAGAAATTTTCAACAGTAACGACCAAAAGAAATAGTCCTGTCTTTGATCCGAAATGTATGATTTGAATAAATCTTAAATAAATACTGAAACATTCACTCCGGATACAATTACATACCGTAATCAAATTAACGAATTAAATAGATCACAGAACATAAAAAATACAGATTTTCGTGGCGTATTTATTACGAATGCGCCCAAAGAACCGATTTTAGCGGCGGCAGTTATCTGCATGTTCAGCAATCGTTCGTTTTGTGTATGAACTTATTGCTGATCGCGAGCTATATTGATTTCAGTCGATAGCATTACGTTGGCCACCCCTGCTGTTTTACACGTTTATTATGCAAAGACGGTTGACTGTAAATAGAATGAAAATACATGACCAGAAGGTTAATGGAAAATAACCGAGGGCAAACGTATACGATTACTTCATGGGAATATTAAAAAAAAATAGTAACTGAAACCTTTCCGAGCATGCTCCCGCCGAACCCCATCGTACTGAACGGTTGGAATTCGGTGGTAAAAGTAGATGTGTTTTGTTGTATTAGTTTTTTTGTGAGTGAAACGGCGGGAACGAATAAAATGATATTTCTCAAAAACGTTAGTAGTTCAGGTCATTTGTTTCTCAAACTGCATTGGAATGCGGATAAAAGCTTCTGCCAAGTGTTTTATTTTACAGAAATAGGTATATCTATTTATATACGATATGACTCGGCGTCATATCTAGGTTGTCCTGAACGGATGATGATAATTTTAAGCAAAACTCTGCAATGAAGTATTCTTTGTTGCAAATTTATCACCAAGTGAAATTCAAATACGCTCTGATTTAGCATTCATTTATTTACATCTTCGATTCATCTGTAAAACTGAGTTCATATATTTTATTAGTACCGTGGATTAAGGTTCACGCAAATATTCAGCTTAAAAATCCTTGGTTTGTCATGATAACCCAAGATATTTCAAAGCGATGGGCAAAAGCAGCTAAGAGCACTATCATAGATAAGTAGAAACACCAAAGCGCGCGACATCTAATTTATGGGTTGTTGAACGTTTCGGTTTGAATATCTCCGATGAACTATAGTTATTTTTTCATAATTAGTGGACGAGGTAATAGAAAAGTCCCAAAATATAAAACTGTTTCAGAGGCCCGTCGAACCCCTGGAACAGCCCCATCAAACCCCTGGGATTCGAGCGAATCCAGGTATAGAGAGAGAGAGAGAATTTTTTATTGTTTCGTCAAACCAGAAAACACATACAATATATATATGATGAAAAATTAGGTTTCGGTAGATGACAGGGTGGTAACGATACGACCATTAACAGTCATCTGAGTCGGTTACCACCCACAGCAAGCACATGAATAAATAAATTAATAACACAGGTTCTGTAATATTACACTCTCAGTATATACATATGGAAAAAAAACTATATACACTATGTAAAAAAAATGATATCTAATTAGAGATGAGAAAAATTTCTAATCGGGATTAGGAAGTTATTTAAATAAATTTTAAATAGAGAGAAGCAAAAAATAAGAATTCCATACCAAATTTATTATATTAATTTACACTTTCAATCTGTTCTGAATCTTCTTTTGTGCTTACACATGATAAAATATGAGGGATAAGATCACAGGGAAATTGAAGGTTCTATGAGTGACAATAATGTGTTGTGTGAAGAAAACCATAGATTGAGATATGAATTATAGGCATAACAGTAATACAATTTTATATTTTCAATTCATTAGGGTGAAGAAAAAAAGCAGGATTCATATGGAACTTCTGCGAGATTTGCACATTACTACGCAGAACAGGTATTACGATGGGAAACAATCAGATTGGTATTGAACCACTGAACTAAATAAAGGAAGCAGATACTACGAATTATATTCAAAAACCAACATGTACAGTTGAAGCAACTAGTACGAAGCTGGTAAAAAAGACCACGGCTACAATACCTTCACCACAATTCTGCCAAACGAGGTCAAATGCCACTCACCCACTAAACTCAGTAAAGCGGGCAAGGCGAAAATACACCATAAACCGCTTTAATAAGATTAAACAACGACAGAACACACGTGAAGTCAAGATGCAAAGCGTCTACATAGCATGTGAAAAATTTCCCTTTGAATTTGCACAAAACAACTAGCATTTATGGATAAAAACTAGCATCAATATTGCCCATCAGCTTTTAAAATACAACTAAATTATTTGCACGAATGGCCTTGACCAAAAAAATGCGTATTACTTACACCAAAAGTTTGATTTGTTTCGATGATCCAACCCGTAAAGATATTGCACTAGTATGTGTAGAGTAGAATACAACACAACTCATGATTGCATGTTCTGTTTTTTTATTCATAGATATCCAACTCACCCAAATAGTTGGTATCTCTGAATACCTGCGCTCTAACCTATTTCGTTTCGCTCATTACTTATAGATTTTATCGGTAAGTATGTTGATAGGTATTTGTCTGTTAGATGCACGCGATATCTCACGAAAGCGAGATTGAATCTGCTCCAGATTTTGCATGTGCATTCATCATATGTCGGACCAGAAGCCTATTGATTTTGGATGAATTATGTCGTATAACCAGCGAGTTATTGAATAATTAGTGATGGGACACAAGGTGTCACTATGGAATAAGAGCGCTGTTTTGGGGGATCCCCTAACTTTCGATCGATTAGTCTTCGGTCTCTGACCGATATTCTCGTTTTTATGTTTTTGCAATACAACTTCAATGTGGCAAACTTCGTTTCACAGGTTCTCTTTCATAAAAGAAAATAGTAAAGACATGTAAATATTGTATACAGTAAACAAACATGAGAGTTATTACTTATCGATTTTAATCAGTAAGTATATTGATAGGTATTTGTCTGTCTGTCTGTTAGATGCACGCGATATCTCACGAAAGCGAGATTGAATCTGCCCCAGATTTTGCATGTGCATTCATCATATGTCGGATCAGAAGCCTATTGATTTTGGATGAATTGTCGTATAATTAGCGAGTTATTAATTAATTAGTGATGGGACACAAGTTGTCACTATGGAGTAAGAGCGCTTTTTTGGGGATCCTCTCACTTTCGATGATAAGTCTTCGGTCTCTGACCGATATTCTAGTTTTCATACTTATTTGAATTAGGTGGCAACTGAATTTGATGACCCCCAAAGGTCGTATCGTTGCCTCCCAGTCATGTACCGAAAAAATCTGCTTATTTGATAATTATTTATGTATGCATATATTGTTTTCATGGTTTGATAAAATGAAATAAACAAACTCTTAACTGATAAACGACTTCTATCGCCTACAGAGATCACTTGCATTTATTAATAATATTAGTAAAAATGGAGGAGTCATTTGTGATTTTCAGCTTAGAAGAGTGCAACTGCCACATTCCCTGATATTATCACCTCAATGATTGAATACTCCTTGAAACCCCGTTAGTGCATGTCATAGCAGCTCATCTGAGACCACGAGTCCATGATAATTGTAAAACTAAGTGTTGTAAAGTCAGTGTTATCTAACTTCAACCAGTACTGAATTTGAAAAAAAAAAGTACACACCAATACAAAAAATAAGATCTTTATTGTGCAACAACAAACCAATTAAGTGCAAAAACAACTAGAAAATAACTAAACAACAAAACGTGAAACAGAAGTATGAATCCTCAGGGTGCTACCTACAAGAGCCAAAATTATGATTGAAAATTTTAGAGGCAAGTAGAAATTTGGTGAGAAATGAGCATTGGGCGAGATTCCGATACTTATTTTACTATATTATAGACACTATGTTTTCAGACCATATGCAAGATTGCTCTGGCGCAATCACATGAAGAGGAAAAGTTACAATAAATGAACGAGCAAAATTACAATAGCGTAATCAATAAGAACGAGATGCAATGAAACATGAAGGCAACATGATGACAAAGGAACATGTTCTTCCACACTGTGGGTTAGTAGCATATTGAATCTTTTTGATAATGGGATTATATATTGCAGTCGCATAGCAGACAGAATATAAGTATGGTACTCATTCAATCCAGAATTTTCAGTGAATAAAACAGATTACATTTATCAGACAAAGGTCATCGTTACAAAGGTTAAAGTACACCATTCGATGCATTAAGAAATTTATTTTTAGACATAACCTGGAATAATTTTGGATAACTGATTCTTAAAATCAATCTATTTTTCAGGCAATATTCAGTCCACCTACCCCTGGGCTAATCTGTGTGTATATAAATGACAAGACACTATAGCGCGTGTGCAGAAAGCGGATAAAATTGATTAATTTGAACACCAAAAGCACAAAAAATTGTTAATTGTTTCCATACAACCATGGAGTTGGTGCTGGGTTGTCATAGATATTAGTATAAAGAGGTTATATTGGGAATTTAACCCAAATTACAGAGCTTGCTGCTCTACCTGTCTATTGTTTCAGTAAAACATATGTATAAAAATGATTATTACTATTTACCATATCCAGAACGCCACCCTGTTCGTAAATATTTGCGACCACTCCTAGTATGTACATTGTGAGTATTGAACGAGGTTGAAATAAACGAGTACAATACGTATCAAGCACATCTTACTTAAATGATTGCATTGATCAATGGAGTTAAATTACTAATGAATATTGAATAATTTATAAATTTGAATAGAAATTGGCAACGAAAAAGATTCTCCCAGATTTTGCGAAATATAGAACGACAGGATCTGCTACAACCCTAATCTTTGAATCACGGGAAACCATTCTTACAACCCGGGTGTGGTTAAATTTTGTTTAAAATGAACATCCTGCTTTAGATCACTAAATGGAAATGTCAACATAACTGAAATCACTTTTTACTTTGTGTGGAAATCATGGCATAAATGTGAAATAAGTAATAGATATATGTTTTTAAAGTATTTTACATAAAGTATGCTAACACCATCTTTAAAAAGATTTTTAGATTCGGGACATACACTACGTTATTGAGCCTTGTTAATTTATTTTATTCCATTGAGAAGAGCAAGAGCTTTTCTCTTAGCTTCTTCCATTTTTTGAGTTGCCCTAGGAGAAATAGAATTTCCACCATTAAAATTAGCAAATCTTTCCGCAGCAAATGGTGGAGACATATTTAAGCTTTGCACAGAATGTTCCTCATGAGCTGGACTGAGATTAGAAGACCTTCCCTGACGATCAGTTACAGATAAAATGTCCACATCTTGGACAGGGATGTCTGAAACATTGCACTCGTCCACTAAGGGGTCAGGTACATTACGAGATAGCAACTCACTGTATTCATTGCACTTTTCTAATCCATTTGATCTGTTATGATTTTCATTTTTAGATGTTCTAGCATGTCCGCTACGATAAGATCTTCGAGGTGTATTATAACTTCTGCAAACCGCGGATTCAACTTTAGCCTTTTCCAATTCTACTCGGAGATTTTCAAGTTTTATTTCAGCTGATAACCGTTTTTGCCTTTCAAAAGCCAGTTGTTTCTCGCATTCTGTAATCTGCCAAGTAGAAAAGAAAATCAATATACAGTATTAATTAATAATGCCATATTGAGCTTGATGATATTCCAGATAAGACACAGAGAATCAATTTGATTAAAATATAATATCACATTGATTGGACTGAAACACTTCAGGGCTTACTAGTATCTTTATAAGCACATATGGGGTGCTGAAGTCTACATCCCAAAATTAGATTTGTCTAAATAACATAACAGATCTACAGGTTTTTTGTTCGACAAAACACAAACATCTTCCAATCATGAAGAAAACTTATTGTTATTACATAACAACAATAGTTCCAATGTTTTGGTTTATAAACATAACAATTGATGTGGCCTAAAAAATACACTTCATAATAGAACGCAATTGTGATGGAAACAATCGCAATTTTGGTTTATCATCACTGAACAAAAAGAAAGCAAAATATTGCTGAATTTCACCAGAATGTTATTACAACTTTGAAAAGATGATTTAACTTACAATTCGAAGATAGAGCCAATCAGCCGAATCTTTCACTATTATTAAATTTAGTACTAACTATGTATTTCTTTAAAGTGTTATCACAAAAGATACAGTATATAGACAAAGAAGGCCGAAACTAGAACCCACTTTAAAATAACATTTTGGCATATTTTCAAAAATGAGCACAAATAATTTGTGAAATACAGAAAGCTGCAGATAAGCAGTAATTCAATTCTATTTCTTTTCGAATTGAAAAATTGGATTGAAGCCTAATTGGTCATACTATGTTACAATTGCTCAAAATGATAATTTTTTAAATGGAACAATTCTAAAGCATACCTGAAATTAATTTGACTTTGATTTGTTTTGGACATCCGTGAATTATAGGCATATGAAGAAAGAATCATATAAAACATACCTTATCTTGATTATTAGAATTCAATGATGTCTCAAATTTGTTTGCTATTGTTAAATTTCCTTCAAAATATTGTTGCACTGTGTTCCCGATCTCAGTTAATGCTTTTCTATCTACAGACTCTTTGTCATTATGCGCATGTTCACATTTTGTTTCTTGTAATCTTCGCACTTCACTTTGAACTTGGATTAACTGGTGAGACAAATCATCGTTTCTAAAAAGAATTTTATTTAATTCAAACAATGCTCTGCACAAGTAAGAAAATACATCGAGGCATATGAACAAATTCTGAAAAAGTTTGATTCGAAGATGTGATCAGTAATGAAGGCACTAGACAAAAAGTTAACAAACAAAGGGACACACCGAATGGCTTGACGGGCCAGGTTTCCAGCCTGTCGCACACCCCTAAAATAGGTACTTTATAAGCAGCGCAGGTATCTAATCATAGTTTGAAGCAATATTCACCAATGTAATCAAATAAAAGTTTGAGAATAAGAAATACTGTACTTTTTTCTCAATTCTTTAAACAGTGCTTTCAAGTTTCTCACTTTTGGGATAACGTTCACGAGTACTCAGTTTTAAGGAACTTGTGTGCTTAATGCAATAATTTTTATGTCTGAAAAGAATAATAACTCACTTCCTAGCAAGCATATCGACTGTGTTTTTCTCGACCTGAAGTTTATCTTGAACATCCATGAGATTGTTGCGTGTTTTTTCCAATAATGTTTCGACTTCTTCCTTTTGTCTTTCAACATTCTTACAAATAGTTTCTTGGTGATTCAATTTGAGACTAAAAAGAGTGAAATCAATATCAGTTAGCATGATAGAATCCAGCTTTTGGTTTTAGAGATATATATCAAGTAGTTGGGACGAAACGCAGAATTAGACAAGAATCAAAACGAGATATCGATCAGAGACCACCGATCGATTTAGCGGCATGTATTCTTTGCTCTGACTCAATAGCGACACTGCGTGTCCCATCACTAATTTAATTAATAACTCGCTAATTAGACAACATATTTCATCCAAAATCAATAGGCTTCTGGTCCGAGATATGATGAATGCACATGCAAAATTTGGGGCAGATTCAACCTCGCTTTCGTGAGATATTGCGTGTATCTAACAGACAAATACCTATCAACATACTTACCGATCAAGATCGATAAGTAATTTGTGTTGCAAATTTGGGGATTTGTTTCATACTGACCTTTCTTCTGTTAATCTTGAATTTAATTCTTGCGTTTCACAAATCAATTTTTTATTTACTTTGTTAATGTTATCCAACTTTTCCTGGGCAGATCTTTTATACGCAACCTCTTTTTGTAAGAAATAGTTTTGTTGTTCATCATGTTGTTCACGTAGGATGGAACAAATTGCCTACAAATATTTGAAATCATTAAACTCTAATTTAATTTTGATGGTAAATTCTGCACAATCGAGTAGTGTAAGCTGTGTAATTAAGATTTTTAAATTTCATAACGGTAAAATTTTTCAATAAATCAGAAAAATTTAACCTGATAAATGAAAAGCTAATGTACAACAAGCCATTTTAACATAAAACAATTGAGAGGTTGAATTCAAAACATGCTTAAATAAAATAATATTGAATAATAGACCTAGATAATGTCTCTATAGAACAACAATGATAGAGAGAGGTTTATTATTTTTTCAAACAGAAAACTAGCATTGCAATAATAATAAAAGTAAACAACATAAGTTATTCAGTATAAAGCTATACGACCAATAATAATATATTTGCTTCAGGCTTGGAAATAGTGATGGTGAGAAAAATCGTTGGTACAAAAATGAGTTGGGGAAGTTTGAAAACTAATCTCGAAACTTCTCGGTTAAATCTGGAATTATTTTACTTATCAAACATTCACTCATATCGTCAAGGTATCAAGTACATTATAATAAAATATTATATATTTTTCATATCAAGACATGTGTTGGCAAAAAAATTATTATGCTTAGCTGGGAAATGTTAAACTTGATAATGTGGTAGACTGAGTGCATCCTTATATTCATGGCGATCATTTACAATACCTCTAATTCGGCTACATGTTCTTCCAATGCCTTTTCATAAGCTTCTGATTCAGCAACTTGAAATTTCAAATCAGTAGTACTTGACTCTAAATGTTTGTGATCGGCGACCACTTCATGTAGAACTACTTTTTGCTCCTACAATTTAATTAACGTAATTTTGTATTTTGAAATATTTCACTTTTTTACAAATAGTTTTCCATAATCAATCTTTCCCAACTTCTTAACTTTAGACAACGAGTGTAAGTTATCACATTGAAGCCACGAATGCTTTTCTTTCATCCATCCACAAACGGGGAACACTATTGCCAACAAATTCTGTACCAATAGTTTGATGGTTACTTTGTTAGTAAAGTTCTCCACCCATGCCCACTTCCTAACAAAAATCAAAAGACTGTGAAAATTGGGCAGTAGTGCTATACTATGTAGACATGACACTTTTACATTACCTAACAGATCCAAATCATATGTAAAGCTATGTTTGGAGTGAAAGTTGGAAAAAAAATATATTGCCAAATATCATTGTTAAAATAAATGACCATTAATTTTCCTGATATTTTTCGTCGAATAAAGTTCTAGTTACCAAAAATTTTCATATAAACATCATTGATTATGATATTCGCACTTATAATCTACCTAGCGATTTAGGACAATCAAACTATAATGATTAATTCTATGTTAAAAAACTCTACCTGGACATAGGCTTGATTTGAAGCCAATTTATTCTCAAGAGCCAGACATTTGAACTTATTTTTCTCCAAATGCTTTCTAACAGATAAGCATTCTTCAACTTTGGATTTCATTTTGGATTCAAGAAATGAAATTTGTAAATTAAGCTTTGATTCCCCCTTCTTAGATTCTACAAGTTGTTTTTCCAATTCCGTAATAGTTTCCTGACATTTTGATTTATCAGAAACTAATTTGTTGCGTTCATCCTTGACCTGTTGAAGAGAACTTAACATCATATTTTGAAAAGAGCAAAGTATAAAAAATTATTGAAATTATTTAGAAAAAGTGGTTGAAAATGTTTATGAATATTCGAATAAGTCAAAATTACTATTAATATGTCTTACAATTAACAATGGCATACTGTCAGTCAAAATGGTTCTTCATAATTATATAAGTAGAGGTACTGGCCATTGATGAATCATGCACAGTTCATTAATGAGTAGGCCGGTTAAAGTGAATAACAGCTAACCACTATCACGTTCAAAGAAATTCCAAAAATTCTCGATTACTAGTTTGTAGCTGATGTACCATTTGATTAAAGTTAAAAACCTCGTCATTTTGACTGAGATTCTCTCTAGAACAATTACTGCATTAGTACTGTAGTACATCCTGACATACAAATCGTGTTCATTACTTACCAGCGTTAAATTTCGCTCTAAATCTAGTCGTTTGGATTCTAAGCTCTGAATTTTGGCTAAGCATTCTTTTTCCAACTTGACAGTTTCCGAGTTGATAGTATGTTGACAACCTTGCAAAAACCCTCGAAGACTGGAAATATTATTCCTGAGTGTTCGTATTTCTGAGAGAACAACTTTTTTATCACCCATTTTCACATATTTTCCATATTCGATGATGTTAAATTGTTCAGTTTCATCCTTATGCATGACTTAAGCTGTCAAAATCCTACCCAAAACTAATGAAATGAGTGTTCATTGATAAATTAGCTATGGCAGTATGGGGTCCGTCTCTCTTTCTCCAGTTTTGTAATATTAAATCCATATGGAACCCAAGATTACAAAGAAAAGTGATACATATTAGGCCAAGAGATTTAACTGCAATTACAAAACGAGTTAAAGGAGCTTGGTAAAAATGAATGTTTTGGCCACCAGGCTGCCAGGGCAAAGGGAATACTGTCAGTTATGTCAATTGAAAATAGCTTCTGAGTCATTCAGAAAAATTAAATGGGAGTGGAACCTATACACCAATTTAACTTGAAACCATGGTATTCAGTTACCGGTACCGTAACCATGTTGAAACAATACCGGTATGATGCGCCTCCGATATAAATTTACGTCACGCCACCTACAGTACCGGTACATTTTTAAAAGATTAGTAAGCAGGGTAGGCACCTGCTGTACAGTCAGACAGTTGTAGATACCTGCCTCATAAATTTATGAAACTTCAAAAACTGTTAAAACAGTAAAAGTCGGCTGTTATTCTGCTTGATTATTTGGTGGGCTACTTGACTTACGTTAGGTTCAGAGGTTACCGGTTTTCTGTTATTGATTCCTTATCCAGTTCATTACTTTGTTTGCGAGTAGATTGCACGTAATTTTTTTTTTTTTTTTTTAGAGAGAGAATTTTATTGTTTTGTTTATCGTTCCAGAAAACACATACAATATATATATGATAGCAAAATGAGAAACATTATGACTGTATGGAGTTATAGTCTGAATAATGACCAACCGTTTGATTTCATGTTTATTTTCTTACGTCGGTTGTAATTTTTTTCTCTTTCTCCTTCATGGGTGGACGCGTTCAATGCGTTATAAACCTAGTTTTAGGTTTTGTTCACTTTTCAGATTCTTCGCCTTCTTTTTTGATGTGTATTGTTTTGGGTCTAGTGTAGTTTAGTACCGTACCACAAGTACTTCTAGTACTGTAGTATCTAGTATGTATGTTACGAAGTTCATTCGATTTAAATAAAAACTACACCAGTAAATAGATCAAGTTAAAACAATACGGCCTTCTCGCAGTCGAGGCAGTATGCGGTGTCGGGCGGACATGTCGACGACTTTGAGACGGCGCCGATAACAACTCGGTTGGTCGACTCGAAACAAGGTAGCGAAAGTAAGGGTTCGAATAATGGGGACTACGTTAGCGTTATCATACCTGCTGACTAGCTGTCGTTATGTCTTTACCGATGCGATTTTAACATGATGGCGAGGTATCGCGATAAAGTTAACAAAGTCAATAAATTTTGTCGTTTTGCATGTCGCTTTGTACATGTAGTCCTATTTAGTAGAGTCAGTAGACGCTAAACATAAATTTAGCATTTTATTATTGAATTGTATTCCAATGGGCATCCCATGTTATGGGAAAGGCATAAATTGCTATGGGATGTGACAGAAGCCTGTTCATATGTGTTTGTAATATGGGTAAACTGGTACATGTATTTCTACATGTTACAAACTTTATTAAAGGTTCTGCTAGTTTTACCAATCTTTTGTGT